TTTTTGTCCTAGCTGTGGGTTCAGTGATAGTAGTTGCTTCATATTTGGCTATGAAGCAACTTACCATCAGCATCTTCAAGACATTCAGTGCTCCATCATTCTCTGTGGTCCTCTCACAGCAGATACTTGACTGTCTACAATCACAAATTTGTTGGGGTTCAGAGTTTCTCTTCATCCCCTCTATGTCCTCCCTGGGGTTACTCTCAACCAATGCTAAAATCTGGATTGGACTACACGCAGGACTTTTCAAACCCACCAGCAGACCGTCGGTGTTTAGCACGGAGACAAAGAGCAGGAAACCTCACCTTCAGCCAAGCTCTGGATGGTGCGATACTGCTGGATTGCATCCGGAGGGGAAAGGAATGCACCAGCCAGGCGTGAACCTGAGGACCACAGCTTCCACTTGGAAAAAAAGAATAAATAAATTCTGGCATTCACCAGCATTCAGGTGTGGTTTCCTGAACACTTACATCACTTTAAATGCAGCCAAAAGAGGCTGTTGCCTCCCCCTGCATAGCCATGCATTCTTGTAACTTGTCTCTTGTTCTCTACTTGTCCCCATGTGATCAACTAGACCACTGACCTTAAAATTAACTTGTTTTTCCCCAAAGATTAGCTCTCAGACTGGACACCTTACTCATCATCCCAAGATCTCTCCATAACAAATCACCTGGAACAAAACAAGAAGCCCCTTTTCCAGGATAAAAAAAGCCTTCCCACATGTTTATTCAAGTCACATTCCTCATATAACGGTGAATCAAAAAGTTTGGTGCCCAGCTCTGCAGAAGGGAAGATTGAATTTCTCTAAGAAAAAGCAGCAGAACTGAATGTACTGTGCTGCATTTGAAAACAGTACGATAAGGTTTCAATATGGTTCTAACCAAGCTCATAGCAACCTCTTATGAGACAAAAAATTGCTGCATGGTAAAATAAAGCAAAATTAAAAAAAACCAAAACAACATACTAGAACAAGGCTGATAAAAAATGAGCTCTGGCATGCATGTCTTCGGTGAACAATTGCTCCAAACTGCTTTGAATTGCCAGCTGTTTGGCATCTAGAACATCTTGCTAGTTCTAAAACTCACCAGAAGATCACTTCTTAATAACTGAAGAAACATTGTACTTGCAACTATGTCAGAGACAGCGTTCCATTAAAAAACTAAACAAACAAACAAAGCAAAACCATAAAATAACCACCCCCAACACACACACATTGGTCCCTACAGGGTCAAGGTGATGATGGCTGCACATCAGGTATTGTTATGCTGCCCCTATTTCTATTGTGCACTAAAACCTTGTGGAACACAGGTGCTGGCAGCAGTGGGGGGTACAGCACATCTGCTCAGGGGATGTTTTCATCAGACACCAGAATTAACTTACATCACCTTCTCCGGGACAGACACCACTTAAGTACATTATCTGCACTTTCCAGCTTCAAGACCACTCAAGCCATCAAGTGATAGTACTACCTTTCCTGTATGTTTTTCCATCCTTCTCTTTATTTAGGAATAAAATCATACAATTTAATTAAAACTAAAGAAGTGTTTCAAAAGGCAGCAAAAGCAACAACTTGTTTTACTAATTTTATTTCGTATTTACCAGCAATAAGTGAAATTCCGCCTCAATGAAGGCTAACACTTGAGACTTGAAATATGAAAGAAGGCTTGGAAAACTGTTAGGAGGAGTGAATTAAGAAAAGAGAGGCTGCTTGTCTTGGAAAAGCAGCTGACAGAGAACTGATCAGTTTAAGTACAAGAATAACCAAAGAGTATTGACTGTCTAGCTCAGGAATATTTGTTCTTCCTGCCACTTTACAGAGGAAGAAAGAGGTAATAAACTGTGGGAAATTCATAACCAGTACAAAAATAAGCTGAAAAGGGGATTGGATATTAAGAATACTAATATCATAATTAAGGCAAATGAAATTTTGGGGAGGTTACTGAACCTTGCACTTCACAACATAAATGCACCCCTACCAAAGGGATGACAGAAATCAGATTAGAGACCTTATAGAAGAGGGACAGATAATGTAGCATCCAGCTGTTGCACAATTCTTGAACTACTATTTGAAGGCTGTAACTTCTGTGATGTTTGATGTACAAAAGCAAGTTAGTGGGCTGGGGAGCTACATGATTAAACAACCATCTGCAATTTGGTTTATACCAAATTAGGATGCAGTGTAGCAGTATATTAAGAATGAACCACCTTTTATTATAGTTGCTTTTGGCGTCTTTTCTTCTTTCAGCCCATATTACACACCATTCCAGCTGAGAAAGTAGAATGATATAAAATCTACAATGGTATAAAAGCTGCAAGGAACCAAGTGCTAATAAAATGACAGCACTCAAGAACACCACAACTGTGTATCATGACTCATCGTAACATAGCTACCCAGGAAACTCAACAGGAAGGGGACAAAAATTTTTATAAGGAGGAGTTACTCTTAATCTATAAACCAATTTAACTAAAATTGGGTGGAGGAGGGAGGTGAACTCCCACCATTATCAATGAAACTTGGTGGTAACAAAAAGATTGGGAGAATGCTAAATAATGGAGCAGGAAGCTTGATTATATTAAGCTGAATAATTTGGTTACCCAGGACACCGGGAACATTGTTAAATAATACAGTACAGAGCACAAGAAGACATGGTGCAGAGGAAAGATGTTTTGAGCGAACCATCAACTTCAAGTGCGATGCTCCTGACACACAAGCCACTGCCCAAGCACAGCTGTAAGGTGATAATGTACAAAAAGTTTATAGGCAAGACACTGGCGAAACCTTTACTGTAGACACTGCATCTAGTTCTGGCACACACAACCTAATGACGGTAACCCCGAGAGGACACAGGCAAGTTTGATTTAACTGAGCTGGGTTTTTTCATGTGGTTAAAAAAGGGGAAAGATAAAAGAGATAAAAAGTAAAGATGATCACTAACTTCTTAGGCTTCTCACTTTATAATGTAACCTTATCAATTTATACCATTACATTTCATTTAACTGAACAAACATTCTTCCAAAAATTTTCTGAAGTGGCAAGAGTAAAGTAAAAGCATTTGGAAGGCAGAAGATTAGAGGAAGAGCCTTGGATACAGATCAAGAATTAACCTTCTGTACATCTCTGGAAAGGGAAGTTTTACCAAGCTCATGAAAATGTTTCTAGCATAAAAGATGAGAGGACTTAAAATACCTCAGCTTCATATGTATGAAATACTACCCTTTCCTAGCATATAAACTTTACTTTCACTTCTCTTTTTCATCCCTTTTATTATGTTCTCATGTCCATTACTCTGAAATAACGATAGCTAAAACCCACACATTTCTTTCCTATATTTGCCCACTTATCTTTCCTTCAGTCTTTTGAGTAGGATGGACAGATATGGTTCCACTGTATTTCTGAAATAATTCCTTTATTTTAGTACCCAGTTAGGTCAAATCAAATGCTCATTTCTTTAGAGTCTGAATCATGCTGCTCAAAAAAAAAAAAAAAAAAAAAAAAAGCCAGGTTTGATGTTTAGCTCAGTTGACAGCAATCTAAGAGTCTGAAAATATAAAACTGGTATTTGATGAGTGCTTTTGGTCCATTTCCAGAACCAGAAGGCCTGTAATTCATTTGGGGAACTTCTTACTTTTCATACCTTTTTGCCTTTGAGACAGGAAGAAATGGAACAGGAACATGACAAACTTTTCTCCCTAAAAAAATAACTTTTAACAAGGACTAGAACACAGGAGGTTCTGCTTAAACTTCAGAAGAAGCTTCTTTACAGTGAGAGTGACAGAGCACTGGAACAGGCTGCCCAGGGAGGTTGTGGAGTCTCCTTCTCTGGAGACATTCAAGACCCGCCTGGACACCTTCCTGTGTGATCTCATTTAGGTTCCTGCTCTGGCAGGGGGATTGGACTAGATGATCTTTCGAGGTTCCTTCCAATCCCTCACATTCTCTGTGATTCTGTGACTGTGGTATTCTTTTAAACCTAAAATCTTGTAAGATGACAAGGACTTTCTTCAGCCTTTTTTTTCTGAATGCAGACTGAAAGGAAATATTCTGATGCATCCCACAGCTTGATTTTCAGTTCATTTAAAATCTTCCCTTCACTCCTGCAAGAACATCATCTCCATTCATTTCCTATGTTGACAAGATTAACTTAAAACCTAAAAATCTGGAAACAATTTCTGCATGAGGCTTCCTGCTAACCCTGAAATTTGAACTTCAGCACAGAAAAAAACCCAAAGTCATCTGCATATGCAGCTTCATTAGTATGGATCTTCGGTTCAAACTGCTAAACCATTATAATAATTTGGCTATGGAAATACCAGCACCACCCATCAATAAGAAACCACCACAAACCCCCAATCCATTGTTTCTATAATAAGTAACAGAAATCCACAACTAGGTTAAGTAAAATCTAATCCCACTCTCTGAATGTACCAAGAAGTTAATTTTTAAAACTGAGAAACTAAAAGCACCCTGTCCCATAACTACAGGCATTATTTATGCCCCAGCTATACTCTGCCCTACAGCCTAGGCATCCCAGGACAGTATTATTCTTATTCCCTCATAACTCTTCAAACATAAGACACCCAAAACAATCCTTCAAATCTAATCATCAGTGACAGTTAACTCCAGCAACAAAGGAGACAGTCATCCTAAAAACCTGCAGAGAACAGAAGAACTTGAACTCAACAGAAAATAGTTTCAGAAGAGGAATGAAGTACACAGTACTGGATGCAAAGAAACTTTTAAAGCCAGGAATAAAAATTTGAACATAGTTTGCATATTCCAGAAATACTTTTACTATAGTTTCATACTACCATAAACCATCACAAACCATTAATCTTGCTCACAGGAGCAGCCCACCTTCTTGCCCACTGTGGGTGCTCATTCCAGTATCTGCTCTACCCATCGTGTGTACAAAGATGAACTTTCATGCAGCCACTACACCAAATTAAAACTGAAGTTTTCTTTTTTGTGTGTTTCAACACAAAAAATCAACTTAGTGGAACTAAAAGCAAATATGAAAGCACTTATATAAATATGATGGTCCATTATGGATGTATTTGACATTTAAAGACACCAGTTCAACAGAAAATGTTTTGCTTAATTCAAATCTTGGACATTCAATCTGCTTTTTATCCACAACAGTGAAGTGGTCTTTACCTTTTATCACAGCGTCTGTACCTGCTGGAGTTCCGTTTTCTTGCGGCGCTACAAGAGTTTTCAGAATCACTTGTGTTGCCCCAACTCTCGGCAGGGTGACGTGTTTAAGAAATGGCAAATTGTTTTTCTTGGCAAATGCCTGGCTTGTTTCTCTCCTTTTCCTAAGGAAGCCACCCTCTGGAAACAAAACAATCCATTTCCGATTGCGGCTCCTGTAATATTTTTCTAGATGCTCCTTGAGTAACACAAGCTGCTGGTCACGGTGTGCTCTTCCCTATAAGGATAAAACATCATTACCTAAATAAAATGAACACTTAAAAGAGATAACATTACACAGATAATTATCACATTTCTAAGATTTCTCTCTTTTCAGATATATAAATAAGCTCCTAAGAAAACACAGAACAATGTTCTCCTCAGAGAACCTACTGGTGGCTGAATTAAGACCACTTTACACAAAGACTGAAAGAAAACCCCTCTGAAATTGAGGGTGAAGCTCCTGATTTAATGACTTCTCTGCAAGAGTGACGTCCAGACTGTAAGTAGGAACTTCACATAACAGGGGAATGTATTTACAGAATTCCCTAGCTGTTAGTGGGTCCCAATTTTAATTTGCTAAACTGAATTCTGCAAACGCCGTTAAGTGGTCAAGCTATGATTTTGGAGGTCTATGTTATCATCAGTAATTTCTGCAAGCCAAACAGTGTCTTGGCTTACACTACCTTCTACGCACCTCTCCCCCACCTCCATCCCATGTAAGAACTGCAGAGGCACCACAGACAGATCTCGGGATCAGGGCTGAGTTGGGTTACCTCAGAACCACAGATTTCACCCACATCTGCGCTGCCTGAATGACCCACTCATTTCTCCTCTTTGATGTATTAGCACAACTTCTTCACTTAAGACAGTAAGATATGTCCTTAATTACTGCAGAAATTTCTTTGATATCTTCAGTAACAAACTTTTTTCTTCCCATCTCAGCACACAGCAAGAGCAAACTACCCAAATTTTTACGTGAATTTACATCAATTAGCATTTTTAAGTGCACCAAAGTGACTTTACCAAATCACTCAGAAGACACGGGAGTCCAAAATTTAAACTCTCCTCAGCAGAGGTGATTTTAATTCTCTGAAACACCAACAAAACTGCCACAAACCTTCCACTGTTTGGTGGTTGGTTGGGTTTTTTTTGGCAGAGGAAAGGAGAGAGAATGAGTGGAGTTGAGTGGAAGACAAGAAGAAACAATGTTGTACTGAAGATGAGTTTTGTAACAGTTTCTCCTAGATTCCGAAGTCTCATGATTGCAATTACTTTCAACTTACTTCCTGCAAGGGAAGGAAAAAGCTCTGTCTGGTCATATTAATGCAATTAAAGAGCAATATAAAAGTTCCTCAGTTAAACCAGTCCTTTCTTACCAGACCACAGGACTCCAGGATAGCACAGTAGTTATGAAAAGAGCAGTGAACAACAAACTTTTCACACATTAGATATGAGAACCCTTCAAAACCTAAACAAACCTAATGAATATGACTGGTGGATAAATTGCAGTTTAGCAAATACTGGTGTGGTTTAAGAAGCTGCTGCAATACAGACAAATCTATGGGACTAATGGAAAAAGAGAGGAGTGTTTAAAAGCAACTGTGACTAGTGGAATACTGAAGAGTCCTGGAGGATAAAACATAGTAAACACTGTTCAGAAAAAAGAGGAATTAAGTTACACAGAAGCAGAAGCAGCTCCTTAATATGATCAGTTCTTGATGACCAGGGCTAGTTGATCACTGTCACAGGGAACGGGCTCAGCCTTCTTCCCTTTAGAGGAAAGAAAACAGGTAGCAGCAGGCTGCTGACAAATGGACCAGTTAGAACAAGTCCAGAGGAGGCCACCAGGATGATCCGAGGGCTGGAGCACCTCTCCTACGATGACAGGCTGAGAGAGTTGGGGCTGTTCAGCCTGGAAAAGAGAAGGCTCCAGGGAGATCTTATAGCGGCCTTCCAGTACCTGAAGGGGCTACAAGAAAGCTGGGGAGGGACTTTTCATAAGGACAGTTAATGACAAAACAAGGGGAAATGGGTTTAAACTGAAAGAGGGCAGGTTTAGATTAGATATTAGGAAGAAATTCTTTACTGTGAGGGTGGTGAGACACTGGAACAGGTTGCCCAAGGAAGTTGTAGATGCCCCCTCCCTGGAAGTGTTCAAGGCCAGGCTGGATGAGGCTTTGAGCAACCTGGTCTAGTGGAAGGTGTCCCTGCTGATGGCAGGGGGGTTGGAACTAGATGATCTTTAAGGTCCCTTCCAATCCTAACCATTCGATGATTCTATGTCACCCACTTTGTACCCTTGTCAGGGCAAGTTACCGACAGTCTCTGTTTCCAGTAAACTTTTCAGTGGGAGAAGAGAAAACACCAGCCAACTTCCAGCAGACCTCAGAAGCATTCCTAATACTGCTATTGTTGCTGTTCATGAAAATGAGGCTAACATACATTTTTAACAAATAGGATGTACTGTACCATGATCAAATGACATTATTTTACAGGGGAAAACAAAACAAAACAAAAAAACCCCCAGAAGTATTTGCTCATCCAAATATTACTAGGGCCTTTCTATAGTTAGGCAAAGGATCATTACTCATTCAGCTTAAGTGGTTTTGCTGCACCCAAAGGCTAACTAACAGCCAAAACCCATTTTATTTTCAATTGATTTATATTTAGACTCATGATGACATACTTTTATTTGTGATGTTACATATCTCAGCCACTTTACAAAAATGAGGAAAAGCCTTAGTTTTTGCAGCTCAGTAATGGTTTGGTTTTGTAACTGGAATTGCAACACCACATTCAGAAATTACAATGAAGTTGACTGTCATGTGTACCTCAAAATGTGTATCTGGTAAATTTTAACTACTGAAATAGACTTATATTTTACAAAATGTCAAACCCTGTTCCTTTCCATACTCTCACAATACACAGTTGTATATGTCTCTAGAGACCTTTATTTTATTATCTAATTTTGCCCGAGGTTTTCTAACAATGCCTCTATCTTAGTGAGAAATCTTGCTTCAGCTGAGTACAGTTGTGACTAAGTATTTTTAAATTTGATTCTGAGTAAATTAGCTTCTCCTTCTTTGTAAAGTAAAAAATTCACGAATCTGTCTGACTGCTCATACATTTTAAGTCCAGAAAAATAAAAATAAGGAGAGGAAAGAAATGTGTATGCTGGATGTTGCAGTTCACAGTTCACATAACTGGCAGCAGGTTCATGCTTATCATTGTACTTCTAAGTTTCTACTTTTAGAGTGCAGTTTGATCAACAGCTACCAAACAACAAAAAAACCCCCCAAATTCTAAGAAATAATCTGAGGTTTTCAGTCCTTAACATTTGAGATACTGGGCTCAACACACATTCTTTTCTGATGCTTAAATAATAATTAACCTTCAAGAATCAATTCATTTCTATTTATGCAGGCCCACATCAAACTGGTCTACTACCATGTCAACATCAAAAGGGATGGTCCTGCCTTTCCTAAACTGAAACTTTGACAATCAGAACAGTGACCTAACCATACTCACTGCACAGCTGCAAGGTCACTAAGGAAAGGAGAGAGGCACCAACAATGGGCAGCCAGAAGCAGAGAGACAAAAAGGACTGCTTGTATACTTTGCTTGTACACCTCTCATAAAAAGCTCCTGTCATAATTGGGTTCCATAAACATTCGTACACAGGCAAATAATAATATAAGCTTAGAAAAAAACAGTTTCAGAACAAAGCTCTATCCAAATACACACATTACAGCATAGTTATTTCATCCTGCAAACCATCCAGGAGGTAATGAGTAAGTCTCAAAACACTGCAATGTTCCAAATATAAGGATAATCATAGAATCATAGAATGGTTTGGGTTGGAAGGGACCTTAAAGATCATCTAGTTCCAACCCCCCTGCCATCAGCAGGGACACCTTCCACTAGACCAGGTTGCTCAAAGCCTCATCCAACCTGGCCTTGAACACTTCCAGGGAG